TGCTAATTCCGGCCACTGAGTGAGATAACTGGTAATTTTGTAAAGTACATTTAGTCAAATAAGATTTTTTGGCAGCCGAATGTTGATGTAGCAGAATGTGCTTTTCTGATTGACATATGCTAACAATACTGCCTCCACAGTCAGGGGGAGGATAATTTACTTTTCATTTCCATTGGAAATGAGGTGAACCAGAATGTGGTACATTGTTAAATCCCAGCTATGTGGTTTAATTGATTTGCTCAAAACCACGAATCAAACGATACCCTGCATCCTCCGTCCTCTCCATCATCACTTCCAGGAAACCAGCGGAGACAAATCTCCTCCTGAGATTCTTTCGGCTCCTTTTGGGCTTCTCAGCCCTTTCCCCAGGCATGTCCTCGAGGGGTGGCTGGACCGGAGGAGAGTCTCTGTGGTGAGAAAACCTCCCCAGCAGAAAATGGGCAGGCTGGCAGCCGTTTCATAGCATTTCCCAGCCGGCGGGCAGGCGTGCTGCGGGGAAACCAAGCATGAGAGAAGCTTAGTCACTCCAGGTGAGGACTTGCCAGCTCACCATCGTCCACATTTTTCCTCTCCATTTTAATTGTCCTTCTCACCCCCCCAAAGAGGAAGGGGGGAAAATTGTTCTGAGTGTCCCAGCTCACTGCTGGAAGGGGACACGGCTGCGGAGACGTGGCACTGACAGAGACCAAGAGCTTGGCTCTGCTGTCACCTCTTTATCAGGCAACGAGGGAACATCTCTGGTCTCTACCACAAAACCGCTGTCATAACACAGAGCTGAAATTGTCCCTAAATCTCAGCTGCTCCCCATGTCTGCTCTGGGGGTCTTGCTCCTGCTGGTGGGGGATCCCAGCTGCTGCTTCGTGGGACGCACCAGTGCGATGCACCACACCGTGCTGCTGCTGCCACTGGAGCTTCACCCATCATTTGCTTTGTGGGACCTTATTTACTTGTTTAGAAAAAAGGCTGATTTGTGGGAAAACACCAGCTGTGAGTGCAAAAATCTTTTTATGATGTAAGTAAGGAAACATTTTCTCATCAAAACCCTTTCAATGAAAATATGAATAGTTCTGGTTCTTGGCTTTTTTAAATTATAAATACTTTCAGTGGAGCTGTTGAACTTGCTACTGTATCTCCAGGAAGACCCTTTAGCCGAACGTTGAACTTTTAACAAGTGAAGTGCTTCAAGACCTCATAAAACATCTACAAACACTCATTAACAGTTCTGTATCCCTCCAAAGCCATGTGCTGACAGACCAGGGGAACAGTTGGTGGCTCAAGGGACTGAATTTTGCTGGGACTGAAGGTGACCTGTAAACACCTGTAACATGTAATATTTCCCCTCCTCCCCTTCTGATGTGTATAAGACAAAAGTCTAGGCTTGTGGGAGGGATGGAAAAACCATCTTCTTCCAAAGTGGCCTCTGAGTCCGTGTCCTTTCAGAAGTCACCTTAGAGCACAAAAGAATAAACGTTTGCAAAACTTCTGATTTACAGGGCTCGTTTAAGCCCTCTGGGGAGTCCCTCCATGAAGTTACACGCTCATCTTCTCCCTCACAGTTGTGAGCGAGCTGATGTCTGCTTTTAGTGGTAACCCAGGGAAACCACAGCAGCCAAATAATTTGCAGGACGACTTGGCGATAGCAAATCACATCAGCATGAAGCTCAGCAGAACCAGGGGAGCAGCTTTCTGTACAAAAGATTCAGGAAGAGTCACAACCCCAAGAACTGGCTTCTGCTTTTGTGTCACCTGATTTTCCTGGTCACTTCCCCCGTGTCTCTCCCACACTCCTGTTTGGAAGGAAGAGAAGAACTCACGTCATGCTGAATCCTCTAGTCTCATACGGATCAGATTTTCGTTGAGCTGACCAAGAGAGGCTGATAACTGCATTTTTTCCCTTCCAGAAGTGTGACAATTTACATAAATTTCCATTTGTCTTCTCATGAGCTTATGAAGCCCTATCCCCAGATCTGCTCTGTCTTCTCTGTCCTGCAAAACCCTGCGTAATTTCAATGTGTCATGTTTCAGCTGGGAGCTCACCCTCATCCGCGTCGTCCCTGTCCCGATGAGGCAGACGATGAGTGACTCAGGTCTCTGAGTGCTTCTGCTCAGGCAGGGCTGGAAGGGAAGGGTGCTCTTCTCCACGAGACAAAACACAATTTGGTGCCGAGGACTAATCCCATCCCACAGATGCTGCCAGATGGGTGTTTGAATGGCTTTTAGGACTGTGCTGATTACAGAAGCCACAGCAGCATGGAAGTGGGTTAGTGTTTCATTCTCTCCTGCCAGTGGCAAACATTGCAGTATTGGATTTTCTTTATTTTTTGTTTGTTTGGTTTTTTTTCCTGAGGATTTAGCACACAGATTGTGGCATTGTTCTTTTACACTAGAAAGCAGCCAGTGCTAAGCCCTTCTATGCAGAGCTTTGTGCTTCTGCACTGTGCTCACGCTGCCCGTCACGGTGCGGAGCAGAAACCTTGGGTCTGGTGGATTTACACCAAATCAAACACCTGAATTTTAATAGATAGGAGAATGGGACTGCACCACACTTGGGGACAGCAGAGAGATGGCCAGACTGCTCTGCTTGTGCCTCCGAACAAGCCTGAATATAGAATTAGTTTAGATCCAGTACCACATAAGCTGTCTTTTCCATGGCAAGCCAACACAAAGCCAGAGACTTTCAGGTCAAAAATGAACCTGGACACTGTCTAAATCCTCTTTCCCAGGGCCAGAGCTCTGGGCACACTCCCAGAGTGGTCTGTACAGGGATATAAGGACTCGAAGCCTCCCACAGGTGTTCCCTAATGGCCATAACCACTTCAGTCCCACTGACGTTAGGAGTTTTCAATGCTGTAAAAAATCCCACTAAACACCTCTACAAGTCTTCCTCCCCCCGAAGACCTTTGACTGTGTAGCCCTGGGATCCCAGTCCAGCTCCTCTTGGAAACTTTCCACTGGCTTTGAAGAGGCAGCAGCTCCCGCAGCGTGCAAAGTCACCTGCAAATGAAGTGTCGCAGCACTGACGTGTGCTGGGGTCTGGACTCACACAACCCAGTAAGCACCTCTCCAATAAAAAAAAAACAAAAAACCACTGAACACAGAGAGTTTGGAGGAGGGGGATCAGCTTTCCTAGCCTTTATCATCCCCGAGAGTTTGTGTTTGCAAACAATTCTTTCCACAAATTAAAACCTTCTACCTCGGGGAACGTATGGATTATTTTTTTTAACTATAGGAGAGTTTTGGTACAAAACAAGACATGGGAAAAATCTTTAAATATAGCCTTTCATAGAAAGCATGCAATTTTCACACTTTTCCCATAACGATTCTTAAAAGGGAAAGTCAATGCTGTTCTAGACAATTTCCCAAGCTCTTTAAAGACTTCACAACACAATTACAGAATGAATCGAGGCTATAAAGAAAGCTCAGAAAAGACTTTTTGAGTTCTGCGTAATTCTATTAGACGAGACTAGTTTGTAGGTAGGGCAAAGTTATATCTAGGAATTTCCTCAGTCCACAGAGGAGCTCTATTATAATTGCCAGCATAAATGAGAGATGATGTTCTCACCACGTGGGTTGCGAGAGACAAAACCCAGCTGGTCCTTCTGCGAAACGCATTGAGCTCTGGAGCACAAAGACTCCATCTATCTGAAGAAAACTTTGGCAACAACAACACTTGCTTGTCTTCACCAAAAGAGGAGCTGCATCTTTCCCAAACTTACGAACAAAGAAACTTAAGTGCTTCTGGTTGCCAGTGCACCTGCTCCCCATATGCTTATGTTCTTTCTTTTATGGATCCCCTGTAGCATCCTGGGGGTGGGGTTGGATTCTTTCTCCATCTTTCCGTTCATTTCTGGCATTTTTTAATCCCTCCAGAGCAAAGAGACCACACATCTGCACTAAGTACTGGGTGTACGGCAAATGCTTGTGTGCTGAGGTGGTGGAGAGGGGACATCTCCATCCCAGCAGATGGAGAACCCATTTGTAGATGAGGCTTTCCTGGTTTTTCAGAGGGGTGTGGGGCTGGCTTGGAGAGCAGGATTGCAGCACTCAGTTTAATTCTTGTTAATATTTTGAAATTTTGGAAATTTAAGGGGTTTTTGGTTGGTCCCACTCTCATCTCAGTGATGTGCTGAGCCCTGTCCTGAGCCGGGGAGCAGAGAGGAGGAGCCCCATGGGTCCCCAGCCCCTCAGGGTGTCAGGGCAGCCCATCGTCCCACCAGACCAGCCTTGCCACAGGCAAACCCTGCACCTTCTCCCATGTCCCTGGGCTGCCATTCCCTAAGCTCAGCTCCAGCAGGGTTCCTCAACAGCCCATAATGCCCCCACAAAGCCTTCCTGCTTTTATTTGACACGAGCAGTGACTTCCACTTGATTCAATCACTGCTTAATTTGATCCTCCATTTAATTTCATCAAAACTGTAGTAATCAAATAATTTGTACTAAAAACATTACAACTTCCACTTGTTTATGCCAATCAATTTTAATCCTTTAAGGCACAAGGTTTATTGGATAATTTAATTACAAGATAACAAAGCGCTGTCATTAAATCTACAAGGAAAGGACAGGGCAGTAAAAAGAAAGTTAAAAAGATCTCAGAGTGCTCATAATAAAGAAAAAATGCAGTAACATACTGTTATTTAGAAGTCACGCTACGCACAATGAAAGCTGAGCAGCATCCTGCTGTTTGTGAGATGGGAAGATCAATGGCATGTTTCGGTTGAGACATTTCTGGCAATGAACTGCACTGAAAAGGGGAAACAACATAATTGGACGTAAATGAATTTGCCTTTTTTGAGTGTTGACCCACGCGAATGAATGTCTGTCAGCGGTGGCTGAGTTGTCCCTCTGTGCAATGAGCCTTCAAAAGCCAAAGGCAGCGCAGTAAGAGGAGGGAGAAGGTTTCCACCACAGGCTGTTTCTCTGTTGCTGTGAGAAATAAAACACAATCTCCTGCTCCACTGATCCTTCTCATCCCTTGACCGTGCCACGTCTTCTCCCCGCAGGTCAACACTTTCATCTCCTTCGTGTTCCCCATGGTGGTCATTTCCGTGCTCAACACCATCATCGCCAACCAGCTCATGGTCATGTTCAAACAGGCGGCCCAGGAAAACCAGGTCTGCACCATCGGTGGGCAGCAGACCATGCTCAGCATGTCCATGGAGCCCAGCCGCGTGCAAGCCTTGAAGCACGGCGTCAGGGTCCTGCGTAAGTAACCGCGTCTTTTGCCAAGGAACCGGCTAGAGGTGTCTAAGTCAATACAGTTTGAAGACCAAGAGGTTGAAACTGGGAAATGCTTTCACCCAAAACGTATTTTAAATGAAAATTAACTCTCTTTCAAAGTCCAAATTGCCCCCAAATGCTTTGATGTTTGCCAAAATTGTCCAATTCCTGTCACAAACCCCCAGATTTTGAAAAATAAATTTCTTTGTTCTCTTGGTCTTTTTCCCTCTTCAGCTACTTCTTGCTGAGTCACCAAGAGTTCTCTAGGGAATTTTACTGCCTATTTTCCACTGCTCTCTTTTTCTACCAAGTCACTTTTCTGCATCCTAATCTTCCCTTGAAGGATAAAAAGAACCCCAAACATACAGAGAAAGGAATCTAAGGAGATATTTGAGTATTATTTAATTAGTTGTGCTCAATGGGGGAGAAGCTGATAAATGAACATTTCAGATTTAAGGAAAAAATATATTTCAGGTCTGTGAAATAGAAACAACTTGATAATATCAAATTTTCCTAATTCTTTTTCTGGCCAGCTCCAGCCTGAACACCTCTCTTTTGGCTGGTGCCTGTCTTAGGCTCTGATTGTGACCGGGGGACTGATGTAGTTTTAAAACCCAACTTGGTTTGTGGGATTGGGGTGGAGCAGATCAGCTGGAGTGGACACACAGCACAGGGTACGCAGCCCCACTAGCATTGGCCGTGCTAAATTAGATGTGCAAATTTCTCTGTTCTGTTGCAAGCAAAGACTTAGAAACCCGGTGTTGGTGGTTTTTCCTTCCCCATCTTCCAAGGTAAAAGCAGGAGATGCTCTGAAGGTGTTTTTTGCTTCATTAGAAGTGTGTGGAAAATCAGTTTTCCCCTGAAGATACACAGAAAAGAGAAAAGAGTTTCTTGCCATCAATCACAGCTTTAATTCAGATTTCAATTTTCCTCTCTCTGTTAGGAAAAAAAAAGGCCCAATGACTCAGATATTGAAAAAAAAAATTTTGATCAAATCAGACTCTTCCTAGTGTTTCTCCTCTTTAGAACTCTGATGATAGCAACACTGATTTGATAGCAAAGCAATGTTCACGTAATCCAATACACCTGATGCTTTATAATAACCCAGAAATAACTCCACTGCACACTTGAAAACCTGACGCGAGACAGTGAGCAGGGACGATGGCTGTCTTGTCTGCAGTGACAGAATTCCCCTGTTCCTGTCCTGCACGTGACGTCCCCCAGGCCAAAGAAATCCCTTGAGAAGGCACCAAGAACGTCCAGGAGCTTTTCCCAGTTGTTTTTCACGAGGGATGCATCCCACGCCGGGCGCTATGTCCCTGCTGTAGACAAGCCACCATGCTGGGAAATGCCTCCAAGAAAAAAAGGAGAGAAAAACCCAGAAAACATTTAATTCCCCATAATTATGTGGGTGGGCTGTGGTTATTTACTCCCCCTGCACCCCAGTTAACCATCATCCACCCAGGGATAAGAAGGGAGCCCTGCTTTGGCTCTGAGCCCACCAGGATGGGGCTGAGGAAGCCCCTGGGCTCCCTGCTATCCTTTTCTATTTCTTAACGCTTCTCCCTGCTGCCATTAAGTGAGGAGCTGCCTTTTCTCACCTGGGCTACAACATCTCACACCTCTCTCTCTCTCTCTCCTTTTAGTATTGTATACCCTTTTACCATCAGGAGGAGAGAGCTCTTCATGAATAATAACAGAGAGACCTAAATCCGCACCCGCCGCTCCCCGGGCATTGCTGGGTGGTGGTGGAAGAGCATCCCTCACCAGCAGCTCCACGTTTCCTCCGAGGCACTGGAAAACAGCCCTTCTTCCTCCAAACAATAAGCTTAATTTTCATCTCCTCCTTCTTCTCCAGGCAAATTTTTCCTTTTGTTATGCACTCCAAAAGCTGAGAAAAGTTAATAAAAGCGAGAGTCTGGAGCCTGAAATGGTGCAAAAGCGGGTCAGAAGCGGCTCCCAAACACCACGTGCATCTCCCCAGTGCCAGCGAGCTCCCTGCCCTGCTGGGGAAGGCAGAGAGAGAGCAGCCACTTGGTCCTTTTCTGGGCTGAGGAAGATCCAGCAAATAAGAACCCCACCCTCAGTTTTGTCTGTGTCACCACAGCAGCCAGAAAAGGCTTTTTTTTATGGAGGAAGAGCAAGTGAAATCCTGCTTCGTCTCGTTTTTCAGATGCACTTGATTAGTGGAGGTGCTTGATTCACATTTACTTTTGTCACCTGTTCCTCTCAACTTCTTTTTTTTTTTTTTTTTTTTTAAATAAGCCAGGCCTCAGAGGTGTCTGAAATGTAGCAAAAAATAAACAAGGACATGCAGGATTTATCCCAGGATCCGCAGCAGCCAAAACCATGTACACAGTCTAGGCTAGTTTATGGAAGAGGCTGGGAAAAGAAAAGGACACTTGTCCACACTAATAAAACTGTTGGCACAAAATCAGAGCTTCATGGGGGTCAAAGTATTTTCCATTTCTAAAAGAGAACCTTGACCTGAAGTGCAGAGAGCCTGGGTTTGTTTTAAGAGTGAAATGTTTCAGAACTTGTAAAACTAGTGCTCAGAAAAGAATCTTGTGCCTTTCATGGTGTGCGGAGCTGTTGGATGAGATCAGAGCAGCAAACACCTTTCCTCCTCCCTCCAGATCTACTGAGATTATGAATTTATTTACACTGAAATAGGAACTAAAAGCGGTCAGGCTAAGAGCTTCATTCAGAATACCCACAACACCATTTTCCTCCTCTTTGCCAGCATTTATGTGGTTTCTTGGCTTGGTCTGACTTCGGTCATGTACAAAATAATTAGGGAGATCAGGATCAAGGAAGGAGTCAGCCCTGCTGCCTGGGAGCCAGCTCGTTAATTCATTAAGCATGTGATTTCTGATTGTAATTCCCTCCTCCCTGCTGCCGGCCTTCACCAGGTGTGAGGATCAGGGTTCAGAGAGCTGGAGGCTCTGGCAGCTTCCCAGCTCTTGTGTGGGGATAAGAGGGCAATGTCTGCACTGAAATACCCCCCTCCTCCATCCACCCGATATTCTTGCCATTTCCCTGGCTATAAACCCCCTCCAGTTGCTGTTATGATTCCTTGGCTGCATTGTAGAGCTGGGAAGCTGAGTCTCTCGGGCGCTACATGGTGCTTCATGGAAGGGTGAAGCTTCTCTGATCGCATCCAACCACCTGGTAACATCCTAAATAAATCTGAAACACACACATGCACACACGCACCCTTCCAGAATAAGCTACTTTCAGCAGGTAAAACCTCACGTACACTGCCCAGACAGTGGCATACTGTGTCCAGACAGAGAGAGGCAATATAAATCTTCCCCATCTCAGTCAATCTCATGTTTCCAAATGGTTTGGTTCAAGCTGGAAGCGCTGTTTGGCTGACATATTTTCTCCCAAGGGGATGGTTTTGTGACAGGGACTAATTGTCCCCATCAATACACCATCCTGCAGCCCTTTCTCTTCCAAGAAGCCTTTAAAACCTCCCCAGCTGCCCATCAGAGGCCCGTTAGGGGCCTGGAGCATCTCCCTTATGAGGAGAGGCTGAGGGACTTGGGTCTTTTTAGTCTAGAGAAGAGAAGACTGAGGGTGGAACTGATCAATGCTTATAAATAGTTAAAGGGTGGGTGTCAGGAGGATGGGGCCAGTCTTCTTTCAGTGGTGCCCAGGGACAGGACAAGAGGAAATGGGCACAAACTTGAATATAAGAACTCCAACCTAGACATGAGGAGGAACTTCTTTCCTGTGAGGGTGGCAGAGCCCTGGCAGAGGCTGCCCAGGGAGGTGGTGGAGTCTCCTTCTCTGGAGACATTCCAAACCCACCTGGACACATTCCTGTGGGACCTGCTCTGGGTGACCCTGCTGTGGCAGGGGGTTGGACTGGATGATCTCCAGAGGTCCCTTCCAACCCCATGTCACTCTGTGATTCTGTCAGATGGATCCCGCTGTGGATGGAAGGAAGGAGCTATCGAACAGCACAGCTGAGCCCCAAGAACCCTGTTGAGACAAACTGATGGAGATCAGGGGGAGGCTTTGCGCATCCCTGGGTGGACACTGGCTGAGCCTATTAAAATGTGATCGGTTCCAGGTAGCATTTGCTCCGTTACAGAAGCCGCTTAGTGAAAGCAATTATAAAGCATTTAGAGAGGTTTAGCCAATTAAAAGAATATCCTTCAGTCTCCCACAACTGGCTGGGTGATACCTCCATTAGGTCCATTTTAGGACGTGAGGTCAAACCACATTTTTTTACCAAATCTCTAAGAATTTTAAAACTCTAACTCTGCATTTCTTCAATAATCGACAAATGCCAAGTATTAATGAAGTATCCACGCAGCCTACATTAATTTCTGCATTACTAAGCCCCTTTCTGAACAAATGTTTTGAAGAGTTCATTCATTTCTCTGCACCGATGTTCCCAGTCGGAGCTGTCTGAGGGGGAGAATATTGCTGTGAGATTTACTGTAACCACCCCGCAAATAGGGATAACAAATAGCAAATACTCTGCAGCCACAATACACAAAAGGGCACCAGTCTGAAAATCTGCTCCTTAAACAGTTGTATTTTGTAATTCCTGTATTCTAAGGAAATCAGATTTGCCCACGAAATCATTTCTTTTGCAAGAAAGGAACTAAATTCACAGCGGTTTGTCTCCATAATAAAAAGCCTGAGCAACTCCAAGTGGAGTTCAGCAAAACCCCAGTGACATTGAGCGTCAGTAGAAGCTGAGTTTAACAGCTGAAGTGTCACACAGAAATTCGGGAGGATAAATTAGCCATAGAACAGTTGTATATATTTCCCAGAGATGTTTGTACGTGTGGGTTTACTTTCCAGCCTGCCGAGCGACGTGAAGAGAGCGGTGTGGGAGAGCTCTATAAACACCCTCTGAGGAGCAGAGAGGGACCAGGGCTGCACCTCTCGGGACAGGGAGACTCTTTTTTCTCCTCTCCCAGGACATGTCCCTTCTCTGTCACTGCAGGAGAGGTGTTTCTGCC